GTATTAGCATTTATTTCATGATTTCTTAAATTTATGTCAGGTCCAAAAAATGGAATTCAGAAAGATTTTTCAGGATTTCATATAATTATTTTATAATTATTTTTAAGATATGGAAAAGAGTACTAAACAATTTAAATGATCCCTCTGCATAGACAGAAACCATAGGTCCCAGGAAAATACTGTCCCTGTTGAGAAGGCTGAGAAAACTTGCCTTTGCAGATAATCTTGACTGGTTAAATTTTTCTGTTTGGAATTACTGAAGTTGGAGGTATATTTAAGGGATAGGTCTAAAAGTTTGCCAGTAGGCAAGAGACTTCCACATCATTTCTAATGACTCAAAACAAGGGTTTCAAAAGTGACCCTCCCAGGACTGTGGCTGTCCCTTCAGTTCGTTCCTGAGGGAAAAGAACTATTTTAAAAATGTTATGGAAATGCATCGGAAAAAAAATTCAGAATATGGAAAATTCTACCAAACTATGATTTAACAAAAAAACTACAAGCGAATAAAAGTAGTGACAGAACTGCAGAAGAAAAATCTTATAAAACTTACCAACCAATTGCAATGTATAAACTTTACTTAGATCCTGATGTAAACAAAACAGATGTTGACTGCAATGTTAATTTTAAGACTTAGCTGTGAAATTATAACCCTAACTGGATATGATACAAAGGAATTGCTGTTATTTTAGGTGTGGTAATAGCAATACAGTTTCAGTTTTTAAAGTCTTTATCTTTTTGGAGATCTAGACTGAAATATTTATAAATATTTATATTCTAAACAAGTGGTATGTTTAGAATTTCTTCAAAATAATCCAGGAGGTGGACATATGATGACACAAGTTTAGCTAATGGTTGAAAAATATCGAAGCAAGGGTAATACATACATGGAGGTTCATTTCCCATAATAAAAAATTAAAAATTATGGTACAATCACTAATTTATTATTCTATCCTAAAATAACCATTAAGACAGTTTAGCAACTTGAAGGAATGCTTAATATAGAATGCTAAATGAACAAAATGTACCTGTCAATATTTCAAAAGCATAAAATAAAATATGCCCTGGAAAAAATTTTTTTAAAGTATGTTAAGGAAGAAAAGGAAATACAAAAACCAAATTAAATTTGTGGGTTAGTTGATTTTTTTTTTTAAATATATTTTATTGATTTTTTACAGAGAGGAAGGGAGAGGGATAGTTAGAAACATCGATGAGAGAGAAACGGATGTGCCTGCAACCAAGGTACATGCCCTTGACCGGAATCGAACCTGGGACCCTTAAGTCCGCAGGCCGATGCTCTAGCCACTGAGCCAAACCGGATAGGGCTAGTTGATTATTTTTATCTGCTAGTATTACACTACTGTCATTAGACATTGCTAATGAATTCAAAAGTAGTCAAATAATTTAATCTACCTAAGAAGGCTGGGTATAAAATAGTGAAGGAGCCTAGAGTAAACTATAAAATGCATGCCTCACCTTAAAGGCATTTATAAAGTTTCAAATACTATGCTACATAAAATCTGTTCTAACCAGATATTCAAATACCCTCACTTTCAGGGTCATTTATTGGCCAAAGCAACCTACATTGAAGAACGAAAGGAGGAAGAAGTATCAATCCCAGATGAGACAGGAAAACCAGACCACTGGTCACCCTATTCACTTCACACACACACACATAAACTGAGGCATAAAATTTGTTTGCTTGTTTATGCTTAAGTAAACTGCCAGAAGTCAAAATGATTTAGCCTCAAAAGAACTGGAGACTAGAGCCCAGAGGGGCAGATTTGCCCGAAGTCACAGTGTTAATTGGAGGCCAATACTAGAACCCAAGAAGCCTGACACTGTCCATATTGAGCTACTACTTACTACCACTTTCTTTTCTTTTCTTCCAGTTTAATTACGTGTGTCCTGCTCATTTTTCCATAAAGAGATTCTCCCCAAAAATGTGTTCTTCAATCAACTTACTCTAAAAATAAGACCAAAAAATAATATAATACAATGACAGGAAAGAGAAGAATGTCAAATGCTTAACAAAAGGAGACTCTTTATCAATCGATGTGTATGTGAAATCCTGTACTCTACAATCACTTCCTATATGGTAAACAACTCTTCCAACAAAGATATTTCTGCACCATGCATAATATTAGAATAATTAATAAAAGCAATAACTGGCCCTTTTTTTAGACTGAAGAAAAGCGCATACATTGATGCACTTAGTAGTCTCCCAAATGTTAATTTTTTCCTACCCACCTCACTGTACAGGCAAGAACCAAAACTTCAGAGCATACTTTGCATCCCAATATACAGCTAAGAAAATGGGGAATCTCCAGGCAGAAGGCTCTATGGCTATTAGCTGACTAACGAATCTGCCTGGCCCTGCCGGTGTGGCTCAGTGGTTGAGCATAGACCTATGAACCAAGAGGTCACGGTTTGATTCCCGGTCAGGGCACATGCAGGAGGCACCCGAAGAATTCTTCTCTCATCATTTATGCTTCTATCTCGTCTTCTCCCTTCCTCACTGAAATCAATAAAAACATATTTTTTTAAAAATTAAGTATCTACTTGGCTGTAACAACCATAGTCTATGGATTACCCATACTGCTACTGAAATCAAGATAAGTACTAAATTTCAGAAATATACCATTTTTTACTTATTACGTAAAAGAAAATTTGCCAGCCCAACTAACTTTTTAACATGGAAGTAGAAGTATAGGCTTTTTAGATCCATTTATAAGCAAAATGACTAGTAACATTAAATGAACCTCAATTTTCTCCTATATAAATGAAAGTTATAAAGGCTAAATAAAGTATGTGGTGCAATGCCGGATACATAATAGGCACTCAATAGGAAGCTCTTATTTATACCTAAAGGTTTAACTCAATGGCCAATTCGAGAAGAACACAAACTATTTTTAAAGCAACTGATAACTCCGGTCATGGTCTTGGTAGTCTATAAAGGGTATCTCGTAGATCATCAGCTAACCCTGAAAGTGCCTGTGAAAATACTTAGTCACCGTGGCTGGTGTGGCTGGTGGAGGGTTTTGTCCTCAGTTTGTAAAAACCACACCACCTGTAAAGCGCAATGAAGGAGGAATACCTGGGAGGGTGTCTTACACACAGATGCACTCAATAAATATTGTTGAATGAAAAGTTGATGTTTCCCTTAATGGCTTTATAAAAAAATACTTTAAGATTATCCTTTTAGCCAAAACTGGTTTGGCTCAGTGGATAGAGTGTCGGCCTGCGGACTGAAAGGTCCCGGGTTCGATTCCGGTCAAGGGCAGGTACCTGGGTTGCGGGCACATCCCCAGTAGGAGATGTGCAGGAGGCAGCTGATCGATGTTTCTCTCTCATTGATGTTTCTAACTATCTCTCTCCCTTCCTCTCTGTAAAAAATCAATAAAATATATTTAAAAAAAAAAAAAAGATTATCCTTTTACATTTTCACTTCAAAAACGTTAAAGAGTAAAAGGTTAATAATAAAAACAGCTTCCCCCACAAAAGAAACTGCTGCTTATAAGAAGCACTAATTAGCAAAATACACCAAAACTCAAAAAATAAATTGCAATTCTCTACCAAAGAAATTTTAAAAAGTAAAATACAATGAGCACCTAAAAAAAGGAAAGCACTATCCATTCCATTTCCAGAAACAACTTACCTTTTCACACCTTCCTTTTGCAGATTTGAAATCCAGATTCTCACACAATCACCGGCCTTCACTTCTGTTTGATTCAATAGCATACACACTACTGAGTCTCTCTTTTGCTATTAAATACATAGGTAGAGAGCACACTAGTCTTATTTTGCTTCCTAACTATGAAAACCAAAGTGCAAAAGTCCTAAAGTCAAAATTACAAAAAAACAAAACTTGAGATTAAACAACGTGCAGAAATAATTGTAAAGACTCCCCATTTTTCGCCAAAATAACTGTAAAGGTTCCACATTTTTCGCTCCAAACATCATACTTCGAAATGTATTTTAAATAGATTTTCCCCCCGCAAATGGGAAAGGACTCTTGCACCTTAATGGGAGGGCCAAGGAGTTAAAAGTAAAACATACTAAAATAAGCCATTTCCAAACAGGTGCGATACCATCAGTGTGTGTGCTGTTGCAGGAAACAGAATGGAGAGCCGTGAATGGGAGTCTGCACTTCATGTCTGCAAAAGAAGAGTAAAAAGGTTAACTTAACTCTAGACTATCTTCTTTACCTACTTAAAAGCAATGCTCATAAATATTTTAAATCAAACGATGAAAATGTGCTGGATAAGACGGAGGCTTGTGGGTGAGCTTGTTTAATACATAAACTATATCTACAGTGTTAGAAGTCCGTACGCGAAACACATATCACACCATCTTGATATTCAAGGTTTTTAAAAAACCCAATCTCTTCTTTAGACTTTCCTTAACACCATCATCATAATGAGCCAAATGTGTTTCCTGTTGAACAATTATCTAAGGAGAATTAGCTCTCACTGTAAGAATAACCGTCAAACGGCTCATTTTAAATGCATCCTCTTCCCCCATAGGGAGTGACAGGTAACCTTCTGGGAATCCCAATGCGCACACCCCTTCCCCCACCCTGATCAAAGTTACAGGCTAATTGGCGAGCAGAAGTGCCTCCCAAGCAAGCTCCGCGGCCCAGCACCCGGTTCTCGGCAAAAGCCCTTTGCATTTTGCATGAACGCAGCCCCCCGCCCTAGAGTGGCTGAGCCGCGCGAATGGAGGCTGGGGGTGGTGGGTAGGATCTGCAGACCCATCCGCACCCTGCGCCCCCCACCTGGTGGCACACCTGCCCTCGCAGGCGCTCACCTGGGGCAGGGACCGCCCTCTCCTGGCCTCGGCGCGCCTGCCCCACTCGGAGCGCGCGCCACGCGGGATTCGAGGGCGGTGCGGGCAGCGGGGCGCCGGCAGGCAGGGGTGAAGGGGCCGCCCTGGCTCCCTCCCTCCCGGGGGACCGAGCAGACCCGGGCGCCCCAAGGGCGTGCTGGGGATGGGCGCGGTACCTTTTGGACAGATCCATGAGGACCCCGGAGAAGAGCTTCTCCCCCAGGCGGAACGACACGACGAGCGCGTCCTCAATGATGTGGTCCAGCGTGACCCGCACCTCCGAGCCGGGGATGAGTTGCGACACCGCGGAGTCCCCGCCCGCCGGCGGCACCAGCGCCGGGGCTGCGGGCTGGGGCAGCGACGGCTCCGGGCGCTCCTCGGGAGCCGGGGGCTGGTCGGGCGGCGGCGCGGAGGAAGGGGGAAGGTCGGGCCCTTCCTGAGGCGCGGCTGCCGCCGGCTCCACCAGCTGAGCGGGCAGCTTCTCCTCAGCCTCCAGCTTCGGCCCCGCCGCCTCCGGGCTGCGAGTAAGCTCCCGCGGCGGCGAGAGCGGCGGCTCGTCGGCCTGAGGAGCGGACGGCTGCCCGTCGGCCTCGCCGTCCGGCACGGATGCTTCAGTGGCCGTGACCGGGAGGGTGTCAGTACCGGCCTCGCTGCCGGGGATGGGCTCCATCTCCGGCTCGGCCTCGCCGGCGCCCCCCTCCCCGGGGGACGCTGCAGTCGCTGCCGCCTCTGCAGCCACGGCCGCCATTTTCTCCCTGGCTTCTCCCTCCTCCAACTCCGGTTGCAGCGGCGGTGGCGGCAGCGCTGCTTGGTTCCCTGGGCCTTCCCCTCCCTCCCGCGAACAGTTTCGTCCCGCCCTTCAACTGATGCTCGTTATTGGCACCGCGCCATTGGTCCCGTCCTCCACTCCTGCCTCACTTGTGATATGCCATTGGCCAGAGCCGGACGTCTATTATCTAGTCAGTCCATCCCTCCCATGCAGAGTAGGAACTTCTCATTGGCCGGGTGAGTTGTCAAATGCCCAATGGGAGTGGAGGGGCGAGCTCAAAGTGGGCGGGGAAAGTAAAAAAAACTGAGCCATATACTTATCGCTTCTTACTATTGGCTACAAGAGGAAATAGAATTTTATGGTTGGCCTACGCTCTTGCCCGTTATCAGCCAGGCTTTCAGGGGGGTGGAGGGGGAGAATGGAGGGAATCACGTGGCGTGCCAGTTCTTTCAAAGGCAATTTAGGGGAGGAGAAACAAGCGAATGAGGGAGGGGGACTGCTTCCCAAGAATCCCTGCGCAGTGGTCTTTAGAATAAATGTTATTTCTAGGCGCGGACCTGCTTGCGGCCGCTTGTGGGCACGACAAGTTTCCTTGGGAAAGACAACTAAAGTTTGAAAATAATTCTACACTTTTGAGTCCCTGGTATGCTAGGTACTGTGCTAGGTGCTGGAGAAAAAAATGATGTGCAAAACAGTCTCTATAACCGCATGGTAGCTACTCCAGCCCCACCCCAGGAATGTTTTCCTTGACTTCACTTTCTAGGAAAATGCTAATGAAAAGCACAATAGATGAAGCTAATGAAAGTTCCAGAAAGCAGTCTTTAAGGCTCCCACGCTAATACTGCTTGTTCTTCCAAAATCACTAGAAAATGGGTGTGTCTGGTTCCTTACGCGTTTTTTCTTTCCTGTCCTCTCCTATGCCACTGTTACAAAAGTCTCTCTTCAGTGTCATAATGCTCCTACTTACTCTATTCTTACTTTAAGGCTCTTGGTTTGGATGTCTGGAAGAAGCTACTGAATCCATTTCTCCCACATTGCATTTCAGAGTCAGCATTCTCCCCAGAAGAGATTGTAGGCACTGAGAATATCTACAAAAGGAAGAGGAGAAAAGTTGCCAGCATTAAGGAGAGTAAAATAAAGTCCTAAAGGATTACAGCTAACATTTGAGAATCTACTATGTACCAGGCACTAGTACAGACACTCAGTGTACCATCTCATGTAATCCTTACAATATTCCTATGAGACAGGTACTATTATTATACCTATTTTATAAAGAAATTGAGGTGCCTAAGGTCACTCAGCTAGTTAAGTTGCAGAGTCACAATCCCAGCTTTACACGGGAATGACTGAAAACAGCAAAAGGTAAATATCACCATATGCTCTATTTCCAGCCACAAGACTGTTGGGAAAAGGCCAGTAGGAAATCCCTGTCAGGGTAGGTTCAGCATCTCCAGAGTAACAGAAGGAAATGAATTTACCGAGGTCTACCCTGTGCCTCAGATTTTCTCATAAGCTTTCATTTAAATGCCTGAGCTAAGTCTTCTTTCTCTTTACAGATAAACTGACCTTAGCCAGGTTAAGGATCTTCTTAAGGGTCACACAGATGGCTATTAGCAAAGACTATCTAACCCAGGTCTTTCTGAACAAATAATTTACCTCCTGCAGGCCTGACTGCAATAAATAGACATGGATCCCACCTTATAGGGTCTTCACTATGATCACTTTATAGATCACCATTATCAATTAATTGAACACGGAGAAAAATACAGCTCAGGTCCTAGATCCTAATTACCTCTTGTAGTGATTCATTACAAGACACTGCAGTGAATTATTTAAATTAAGGATTTATGGCAGATTGTGGCATACCAAGTTACCCCCCTAAGTCATTTTTCATTCTGCAACTCAAGAACTTCTACTAGCTTCCTATGTTCCCATCAAGTGTACCCTCTTCTGCTTGTCTTTCAAGGCCCTCTCTGTTCCTACGCTATCTTTCAAGGTCTGTTTATATGGTCATGAATTTTTTTCATTCATTTATTCAACAAATAAATATTGAAGGCCTACTACTATGTGTCTGTTACTGGGCTAGGAAGGCAGAAGTCATGCAGGAAAAAAAAAGCACAAAAACACAAACATGAAAGACTTAGTACCTGGCCTCCCTCGACTTGTTTCTGGTTAAGAAGTTAGAAAATAAACAATAAACAAGATTGTGACCAATGCCTTAAAAGAAATAAACAGGGTGAGGTGATAGGGAGTAGCTGGGGAGGGGGAAGAGAGCATCTACTTTAGATAAAGTGGTCAGAAAAGGCCTCTCTGAGGACAAGACATTTACTTAGGTTGCAAAGGATAAGAAGGAGCCAGCTATTAGCATTGCTTGATGAATATTTGGGTCAAAAGGAACAGCAATTGCAAAAGTCTTGAGGCAAAAGAGGTCTTATTCCAGAAATGGAAAGGAGACCAGTATAATTGAATAAGTGGGTAAGATTGAAAAGGAAGACAGGAGCCAATCATATTTTATGCTCTACAGATACAAAAACTAGAGATACTATCCTCAAGGAATTCTAAATCCAGTGAAAACCCAGCTTTCATAAGTTTTGTTGTATTCTGGTCACTTCTGTATTCAGCTTCCTCCTGGCATAAAACCAGCATAGAGAAGGCCCCTGGTATTTGTGGAATGGAGAGCTCCATGGTATTTGTGGCTGGCTGGCTGGCTGGCTGCAGGACTGGATGGGTGACTGGATGGTTGGCGTCTTAGTCTCTTCAGAGTGCTAGAACAAAATACCACAGATCTGATGGCTTAGTAACAACAAAAATTTATTTCTTACAGTTCTGCAGGCTGGACGTGCAAGATCAGGTCACCAGCATGGTGAAATGAAGGCCTTTTTTCAGGCTGCAGGCTTCTCTTTGTATACTCACATGGCAAAAAGGGGCAAGGGAGCTTTCTTGGAAGCTCCACAGGAGGATGGGCGTGGAAGTGGGGGTGGGGGTCTTGGAAACGTTTCCACCCTGCTTTGACCTTAGGAAGTCCTACTTCATCTCCCACACAGTGGACTTCCCAGGAAAGCTTCATTTGAAATAAAATGCCCCATTGCTCACAAGGTCACACCCTATGAAATCCTTTCACTAGAGAGGAAGTGGTGAAGGTGCAGACATTAAAAGTCTGAATCCTTCTCACTCATTACTGATGTTTCTATCTCTCTCTCCCCCTTCTTCTCTGAAATCAATAAAAATATATTTTTAAAAAAAGAAAAAGAGTCTGAATCCTGCCCAGCTGGTGTGGCTCAGTGTTTGAGTGTCAACCTATGAACCAGGAGGCTATGGTTCAATTCCCAGTCAGGGCACATGCCCAGGTTGTAGGCTTGATCCCCAGAAGGAGCATGCAGAAGGCAGTCGATTGATAATACGCTCTCAACCTTTATGTTTCTATCTTTCTCCCTTCCTCTCTGAAATCAATAAAATATATATATATTTTTAAAAAGGTATTAATTTCAATCAAGAGGGTCCTGTCTTCATTACCTAATCACCTCCCATATGCCCCACCTCCTAATACTAACACCATAGGGGTTAGGATTTCAACAAATAAATTTTGGAGGGACACAAATATTCAGACCATAGCAGATGGATAGTTGGTTGATTGGAAGATGATTGAAGGAATGAATGGGTGGCTGGATGAAGGGATAGATGAATGGCAGGGATAAGGAATCCAGCTGACTACTCAAGCACATCTTTACTGTCGCAGCAGACTTTGATCTCAAGCTCTGTGGAAGGTACCAAAGTTTAGTGATTAAAAACTCATCGATGGAAATGAATGAATGAACCTGTATGTGACTCTCAGTCGGCCTCCAACTAGCTGTATGATATGGGCAGAACGCAGTCTTAGGCAAGTTGTTTATTTTTATTTTTTTTAAATATATTTTATTGATTTTTTTACAGAAAAGAAGGGAGAAGGATAGAGCATTAGAAACATTGATGAGAGAGAAACTCGATCAGCTGCCTCCTGCACACTCCCTACTGGGGATGTGCCCGCAACCAAGGTATATGCCCTTGACCGGAATCGAACCTGGGACCCTTGAGTCCGCAGGCCAACGCTCTATCCACTGAGCCAAACCGGTTAGGGAATAGGCAAATTGTTTAAACTGTTTCCTCATTTATAAAATATCTTAATAATAACTAGCTTCCTGCCGAAACCGGTTTGGCTCAGTGGATAGAGCGTCGGCCTGCGGACTGAAAGGTCCCAGGTTCGATTCCGGTCAAGGGCATGTACCTGGGTTGCGGGCACATCCCCAGTAGGAGTTGTGCAGGAGGCAGCTGATCGATGTTTCTCTCTCATCGATGTTTCTAACTATCTCTCTCTCCCTTCCTCTCTGTAAAAAATCAATAAAATATATTTAAAAAAAAATAACTAGCTTCCTATCAGGTTGGTGTGTTTGTATATAAATTATGTAACATATAAAATGCTTAACATAGACTCTAAGCGTAGCTTCATAACTGTTAGCAACTAGATTTAGAAATTCCATTTTATCACTGCATCTGGGATTGATCATCCTCTAGGGCTCTGACTCCCAATAACCAAACTTGTGAAAAGCTAAGTAAAAACCCAAATACTGGGGTGTTGGTTCATAGAGAAGGATAAGTATCTCTAGTTGTGACTTAGTGGGTTTTTTCTTTTGTTTTATTTTTCTGGGCCTCATCTCTCGAGAAATCAAATTAGAGGGTAGCATGGGGAACAGAGACTCAAGACTCAGAGCACGTGGCTGTGAGTGCTGGCTGAGTGAATTACTTGTCCCATCCTACACCTATTTCTGTCCAGGTAACCATTATTTCTCTTCTAAAATCAGTCATTTATTCCCAGACCAAGACTGTGATGGATAACTCCTGGCAAACATGTCAATCACTGGCTCTCTCTCCATGTGTCTCAGTGGTTCTCAATGTATTAAGGAATCTCACTGAGAATCTGCTAAAAAGCTATTTTTTACATACTGTGTGATCTCATTTATATAAAGTACAAAAACAAGCAAAACAAATGTATGCTGGTAGAGGCTAGCATTTATTTTATCACTGTGTCTGTGAGCAGAAATCCAGGCATGGCTTAGCTGGGTCCTCTGCTTAGGGTCTCTCTC